GTGAATGCATCACAGCATCAAAGCAGGTCAGTGAATGCATCACAGCATCAAAGCAGGTCAGTGAATGCATCACTGGCTGTAATGTCAGGTGAGAGGGGACAGAGGCTGGTGAAAGAACCAATCAGAAACGTTTTTCTCGATGTTTCCAGAAACTGCTCCACACCTGGAAACACAAACTGTTCTTTCAGTTCCAGATTCTACTGATTCCAGAAAACTAGACGTCTTTGTCTGTGCAGCAGAAACATCTTCATTGATCTGGTGAACAGGTGAGTGCAGCTCTGCTGTCGCCGTGGAAACAGACAGCCAATCTGGATCCTCAGAGGGGAGCTGCTGGTGGAAACGCAGCCGCCTGTGGATCTAAGCCGGTTCCAGCCTCTCATACACAGCAGCTCTTCGCTCCTGTCAGCTGTTGTCCATCAGCGAGGTCAGAGATGCTCCCCTGATGAAGACCAGATCTGGAGGATCCTGCTGAAGATCCACTGAGTTGAAGCAGATGAGTTCAGGCAGGCAAACCTCTGAACCTGCTGCTCTTCAGCAGGTTATGAACATATTCAGATCCTCTCTGTACATTTTATCACTTTTTCTTTTATACATGATGTCAAACTATTCTGAACCTTTTCATTCTTTCACTCAGAATCAGGAAGCTTCTCAATAATCACAGTCTCATGTTTTTTTAACGATGTAGTTTTTTTTTTTTTCTCCAAGTTTGCAGTAAACTGGAATGTTTTATGTTGTTTTTTTTGCTCAGCTTAGACCTTCATCCCAAAAACAGTTCAGACCTTTGGTTCTCCCTTTGCTCTGAGGAACCTGCTGCAGACTGCAGCCATTTCCTCTCCAGAGGCGTCTGCAGAGCCCAGAATTCATTAACCTGAAGAGCTTTAATCACTCGTCAGACTGCAGACATTTACACTGGATTTTACTTGGAAATGCCTGGTTTTCAAGCTAATTTCATGCAAAAAAAAATGTTTAAGGCAAAATAAAAGAAAATATTCTGATTCTGAGACATAAAAACGTGTGATGAAGGTTCTGCTCCTGCAGAAATGATGCAGACATGACAGAGGCTGAGGTTATGGTCTGGCTAGAAGGTTATAATCAGAATGGAGGAAATGACCCAGAGCAGATCTCCTTTCTGCAGGAATCTTCTGCTCCTGCAGTCAGACCAGCACTCCTACTGTACTGTGATGCTAGTTGGGGTTTAAATGAGGACAGGTTCCATCAAACAGGCAGTGATTCAGTGTTTCTCTCTGGGTCTCAGGCTGCTGCAGACCTGAGCTGCATAATAACAGGCAGCAGGCGGCTGTTTCAGCGCCGCTGCAGATAAATGTCTGAAAGCACAGGAGGCACAAACAGATGCTTCCTCTGCTGCTCCGCTCGCTTCCTTTCTTCCATTTAGCTCCTTTTATCGGGTTTTATTGAAAAGATATTTATTTTATGATGTTTTATGAGATTCGTTGGAGAAATCCAAAGCTCTGATCTGAGAACTAATTTGACGACTTGATTAATTATCAGAGGGGGCGTGATGTTGCTGTCTGGTGGATCATTTCCTGGTGGGAAGCAGCGGTACTGCAGCATGTAATGTAGATCAATCACAGCTGCAGATTCCCGTTTCACAAAGCAGGTTTAACAAAGTCAGGCTCAAATCCTCAACTCTGAGGTCCAGGTTTAAACTCTGGGTTTTCTGTTTCATCAAAGCTGCTGTGAGTTAATTTAATCAACTGTAACAAGGTCGGTCCACTCAGAGTTGAGCACGTGTGTAACAAGGATGAAAAGCCTTAATCAGTGGAGCATCGATTAGACCAGTCACCATGACAACGGGCAACAGGAAGAACCTGTTTCATCCCACTGAAACTAGAGAAGAGAGGAAGGAGCGGACGATGTTCCTCAGATGTTCCTCAGGTTTCTGGTCTCAGGTTATTTCGGCCAAACAGGTTGGACGTCCTGGACGTTCTTCTTCTTCTTCTTAGATGCATGACCAGCCTGTGGCTGGATGCTGTTTTTGTATTTAACAGATTTAAATCTTTTAAAGTTAAGGTGATTGATTAAATTTTATCGGGTTGTTTTAAAATCAGTCGCCATGTTTAAATGTAGACCGGTCCAAACGTCTGACTCTCTGGTCTGGCTGTTACAGGAACCTCTGGCTGGACGTGAGCGGCGGCGCAGGACCAGGGCTGATGGAGGCGCTGCATCGTTCCGAGATGACAACGGTGGGACGGCTGGTGGACACTGCGGGACCGTCCCTCTCTGACATCGCTCTGCAGGGCTGGTGCGGCGCTTCCTGGACCTTCAGAGAGAAAAGCTGTCGGCCAATCAGAGGAGCCGCCTTCATTCGTACTGCGAAGGTCAGAAACATCTGGATCCAACAAACTCCAGTGTGGGGTTAAGGGTCCTGCTCAGGGACCCAGAGTGGAGGCTGTGGGAGTTGAACTCAGAACCTCTGGACTCCAAGCTCTGTGCTCTGCTTGGTCTGTTATCTTCCCCTCTTCATACCCCCCCCCCAGGCCGGATCACTCTGCTGCACACCTGCTCACCAGGAGAGACGGCGACGGCTGCTGGTTCTGATCCGATCGGGTCACAGCAGCCGTAACCTTCCGCCTGAGAGGAGTTTCTGGAATCAGTCGGCAGAAAGATGCTGCTGTAGAAAGAGGCGGAACAGATTCTGATTCCTCAAAACCAAACCTTCAAACTTTGTTTAATAAAAAGTTCAGTTAGTAAGAGGAGTTTTTTTTTTTTTTTACAAACCTTTATTGACAATAAATTCTAAATATTTTCCTTAAAGTTTCCGGGTGGATCGTCTAAATCAGTGGTCCTCCTAACTGTCAATCATTCTGGTGATATCTTTCCGTAAGGCCGTCCCACGAGCTCCGCCCCTTTTTCACTGACCGCTGGTGGAAAAATGACTAATCTTCTTTAGGAAAGTGAGCTAGTATGATTATTACACTGGAAAAATGATCTAGAAATAAGTAAAAATTTCTTAAATTAAGTGTATTTGAGCTGAAGGTGATTAAAACAAGAGTCTCTAAAACAGACGTGGCTACAGCTTGATGCTAACATGTTTGCTAGCTGCCAGAATTCAGACTTTTTTCTCATATTAAACTGAAATAAAATCTAAAAATCAGTTAAATTTTATTAATTTTTCCAGTTGCTGTACTGCTTTAGGACCTGGATCTCACAGAGCGCCAACCTGACCCATCTCTTCTCTGATTGGATGTTATATCAGTGATTGACATCAGGTTGACCAATCAGCTGAGCAGCAGATTCATTTATGTCAACAGACCTAAAAGATAACTTTTGTAGAGCAGCTTTTTCTACAATGAAAATAAAATATTATTTATTGATGCGTAAAAATTAAACTCTGTGCTTTAAAAAATGGTTAAAAATTCTAAATTAAAAGGACAGCATCTAATTATTTGGCTGAAAGTTCATCCATTAAAAAACCTTAAACTTTGATCAGGTTGTAGATAGATCTATAGAATGGCATCATCTAGATCTAGATGGTGCAGACTGGAACCGTGCAGTTGTGGACAGAGTGCTGCAGCAGGCAGACCGGCTCCCAGTGTTTCTGTTCACAGCTGAACAAAGAGAGAGGAGGCGACACGACGCGCTGAGCGTGCACGCACTCACACAGGGCGCGTGCACGCTCACCGTGCACGCTCTGATGAATGCAGGGTGGGGGGGCGGGGGAGGGATCCTGAATGCACCTCCTGCTGCGTCTGCGTGCACGTCCTCGACACATAAAGAAAGGAGCAAAGGAAGGAGCCGGAGACCGAGAGGTAAACGCAACATCCTCTTCTTCCTCATCTGCTGCATCTTCATCACCACAGCCCCCCCCTCCTCCTCCTCCTCCTCCTCCTCCTCCTCTCAGTGAAGGCATGGCCAGTCATCACAGCCACAAAGGAGACGGAGCGATGAGGAGACCTTGACAGAAGGAGGCTGCAGACTTCCAGAGAGGAAGAGGAGAGGAGGAAGAAGAGGCTGCTTCCACATTTCCGTAGGTTTTCCTGGAAGTGTCACGATGCATTTCCCACGGAGCGCCTCCATCAGTGTGTGTCCAGGTGTCTCCAGGTGTTTCATTCCTTCATATCAGCCCTCTTCCTCTCTGACTCTTCATCAGTTTGTTGTTCCTGTCTTTGTTCCTCTCGTTCTGCCGGGATGATGTTCCTCCTGAGGAGGTTTCTGGCTTTAATCCTCCGCAGTCTGCTGGTGGTTCTCCAGTAATTTTCCTCTGGGGATCTTCAGGCTCCGGTTGTCATGGTGCAGTCATGGTTTCTGTCTGTTATTCTGCTGAAGTTCCTTTGTTTTCTGGGTGATGTGGTTCTGCTGGGGTCAGTCCAGGTGGGATCATCCACCTGCCGTCACGTTCAGAGGTCTGGCTGCTCCTCTCCTCTGGTCTGTGGACATCAGGCTGGTTCTCCTGGTCCTGAAGCTTCCATCCTGTCGGGATGCCGTGACGCTTGGATCTCTGGATCAACCTTTATCTGCTGAGGTTGGACTTCCAGACGGGTTCTATCCTGCTGCTGATTCTGTTGTTGGTCCAGTTTGAGTGGATCTGGTTCCTGCTTTGGTGAGTTCAGGATCGATGCCTGCAGGAACATAAACTGTTTCCATCTGGTGGTTCTAACTGATCAGGTAGCGTCTTGTTCTGAACGGGAATATTTCTCCATCAAATTATGGCTTCGATCAACGAAAGAGGAATAGGGCCACTGAAAAAATGTTAAAAAGTTAACTGTTTTTTAAATATTATTTCATTTTAACGTGGGTAAAAAAGTCAGAATTCTGACTTTAATGTAAAAATTCTGACTTTTTTTCAGAATTCTGAACTTAATCTCAGAATTCCGACTTTTTTCTCCAAATTCTGTCTGAATTCTGACAGCTAACAAACATGTTAGCATCCAGCCGTAGCCATGTCTGTTTTATCGCTCTTGTTTTAATCTCCTTCTGTTCTTCCATTAATCAAACAGCATCAGCAGGGGCCACTGGAAAGAAATCGAAATCTAAAGTTGTTTTTTCTTAAAATAAGTGCATTTGTTCTTGGATTTAGTTGGTAAAAGAGAGATTTTGCGAATGGAACGAGACAATTTACACTTACAATAAGAAAACACCGTAGCATTGTCTTATTTCAGGTGCATTTTATCTAATTTTCTTATTTTAAGAGTAAAAATACTAATTCCATTGGCAAACTATCTCATTTATCTACTCAAATTAAGCATAAATACACTTAATTTAAGACATTTTTTACTTATTTTTAGATCCTTTTTCCAGTGCAGGAATGCAAAAAGTTGCCTAATTCCATCATTTTCCACCCAAACTACTCACATCTCTGCCTTCATGGCGCCCATCTACATTAAGATCTACAATTCTGAGATTAAAGTCAGAATTCTGACTTTTTTCAAATATTAAACTGCAATAAAATTCAAATATCAGTTAACTTTTCTTTTTCAGTGGCCTTAATCCACTTATTCAGATGTTGGTTCTGGTTTGAATGCGCTCAGGTTTCATATTAAAGTTCTTCCAGTAGATCAGGTCCAGTTTGTGTCGGTCCGCTGGGTTCTGGTTCTTCCTGTGGATCTGGGTCAGTTCTGTCCAGCTCTGGTTTAATTCATCGTTTTCTCTGCAACCGGAGAACATTCTTTGCTGGAGATTATTCCAGATGTTTTCAGTCGGAACCTCAGCTGACTTTTCTTGGAGGATGGTAGTCCTGATGGAGCAGACTGATGGGTCAGAACTCTGACGGTTGTTCTGTTAAACATCTTCAGGAATTAGAAGTGTTGATATTTAAGGTTTCCTGTTGATGAAGAAAGAGGATCAGGTCTGATTTTTCAGCAGAGGACATCAGTAGAGTTCAGTCCTTTCCATTCCTCCCAGCAGGAATGAAACCAGAACCGCTGAATCGGATCAATATTCGATTGATCAGATTAGAACTTTGGTGACTCGGGTGCAGATCCAATCGTCGTCCCAGAGTCTAAAAGTTCAGGTTCTGCTCTTTCAGCAGAGACCCAGAGGTGGGGACATGTCCACCGTCCCTCCGTCCACCACAGAGATATGCATCTCAAAGGTGGTTCCTCTTGCAGATCCATCTGAGGTTCTTCAGGGTTCCTTCTCTATCGTCGCTTCCATACTACCAGTCTGAACCAGTTACTAACTGGTAACTTACTGGTATCACACCTGCTAATCGCTTTAGTGTGAATAAAGTAATTACGTTCCTGACTTAGCCACGCATCTGCATGTTTTATGTGAAAGTGATGCGTTGCTTAGCAACAGTCCAGACTCCCGCTACCAACAAACGGACTGGAAACCTTTTAAGAAGCGAGTTGGAGAGTTTTGTAACGACGGCTGGAAAACGGTCAGAGCTGGAAATGAAAGGAGTCATCTGACGGGTGGCCTGGTTATAAATGACGGGCGAACGGCTGACCGGAGCGGCCGCGGAGAAGACTGGGTTAAAAAAAAAAATCCAAACTGAATTTCTTTGCTAGCTTTTATAACGCCGCTAACTATCAGCTGTTGGACTGATGTCATTTCTGGTTGAAATTCTTTACAGGTTTCCTTCTTCAGGCAAAGCAACATCCTCTACAGTCTACCGGTGAAGATTCTCAGTCATCCAGGTCAGAGTCATTCTAAAAAAGTTTAAAATCAATCCACTGGACTTTGTTTCCAAGTCTGAAGACGTTTCTCTTCCATCCAGGAAGCTTTTTCAATCCAAAATGTCAGAAATAGCGTTTAGTTCCAGGTTTTATCCAGCAGCCCAACAAAGCCTGGTTTTAGTTTAGAAAACATGCAAATAGAAACGGATGAACGGGTCCCCCCCTTTGGAATGGGGGTCGTTTGGCTTCTTTGTTAGCCTGCAATGCCCCATACCTGTCTATGTCTCTGAAAGAATGTCATTCTTTGGAGGACCAGAATGTTCACATTTTGGACAAAGAGGACAGGTGGTTTGAGAGGGGCGTGAAGGAAACCAACCTTAAATGTTGTAGGGTTTTTTTTTTCATTCTACGTCAGCCTGAACACCTAAATTCGGCCAATCATATATCAACGGTCATCTGTCAATCAAATGTTTTCGGTCATAGCATCTTGATTCATGTGTCGCAGCTAATATACGCAACGGTTGAAACCAGAATCATTTCCTTTCCCATTGAGTTGCGTCCCAGTGTTCACGGGGATGGACGTCTGTGTCTTCGGCAGGCGTAGAGCTAACAGAACTGGCAGCGTTGCGAGGCAAGGGCTCAAACATGTACGGCTGGAAGCCTTCTACACCAAACCAAGCTTCTGCCGCCCTGGCGTCCTCTTCCACAACATCTTCGTCCCCGCTTTCCTCCTCTAAATAAAAAATGGATGACGGAGGAGACTCATCCACGACCTCCGACACTAAACTCTCCTCCTCTTGCATGTTTCCGCTGTCCATAGCGTTCCTTGACAGCGTCGTTTCTAAGTCACCAATTTAGTGCTACTTGGTCCCAATGGAATTTCCCATTGGGAACCTGCTAGCACTAAGATGCTAACTGGTTAGCAAGATGCTTCCGACAAACCGGCCACAATCAAACTGCTTACGAACTTTCCGCCACAACAATTGATTATCGACCAATCACATTCACTTTATTCACTGGTGTAAAGTCGGGAGAATTCGGAAATGCAACGGTTGGAACATCCGCTTCCCTACGACTTTAAACAGAGGGGGGGACTCATTAACAGAAGACCTCACCTATTCAGCCAGACCAACAATCCCCTCTAACGCCCCCCCTTTCAGAGACATAGACAGGTATGGGGCATTGCAGGCTAACAAAGAAGCCAAACGACCCCCATTCCAAAGGGGGGGACCCGTTCATTCGTTTCTATTTGCATGTTTTCTAAACTAAAACCAGGCTTTGTTGGGCTGCTGGATAAAACCTGGAACTAAACGCTATTTCTGACATTTGGAACTGAAAAATCTTCCTGGATGGAAGAGAAACGTCTTCAAAATTGGAAACAAATTCCAGTAGATTGATTTGAAACTTTTTGGGAAATCCTCTACTCTACTGGTGATATTAGCTAAACCCATTTCAACATTGACATTGCATGTTTGAGAGAAGCTTAAATTATTTCTCAGTTGGGGAGAACGTTTCCATCATAAACCTGTGTGGGGAACCTCCCAGTCCAGGTCAGCGGATCAGTCCAACAAACCTTCCCTGGAGCTGCAGGGGCACCTAAACCTTCTCTCTGTGTGAACTCTACTCCTGCTTTTCTTTTGGATCGGACCAGAACTCTTCTCTGATTATTGGGCTGCAGGCCGGTCCGTCTCAGTAAAGCCCAACAGGTTCTGAAAAACTGATGGAGACCTGGACACCTGCTGTGCTCCTGATCCAGAATAAACTCACTTTCCTTTTCTGCTGTTGTTGCTCTTCTTCTGTCTTTGGTACCATGTGGCGCCACCCTGTGACCGGGAGCTTTGCTCAGTGAGCTGTTGATGGATGTGCTGAGTGGAGCCAAGCTGAACATCATGAGAGGAACATCTCCTCCTCCTGCAGAGTTTCACTGCCAGCTGTGTGTGTGCAGCAGAGCTCTGCATCATGATGGAGCAGACAGTCAGAGTGTTGGACTGAATATGAAACAGCAGGAGGCTGCTAAGAGTCTGCAGCCCCAACACACACACACCCGTCTGCCTTTTACAGACTTACTGAGGACCACACATGTTGTGTTCTGCAGTCTTTTGCAACAACAGACCCTGTCCTCAGAGGACCCGTCCACTGGTCCCCACAATGTAGCATATTCCCAGGATGGTCTTTGTTGTGCAGCTTTGGGAGGAAGAAGTTCTGGAAGGACGCCATCTTTGTTCTGCAGGGATCTGAACCTCTGAACAATCCCAGTCCTCTGTTTTAATATTTCATTCGTTGTTTTTGCTCCAGTCTGTCCTGCGACTCCAAACTGACTCTTTCTCTGTCAGATTAACAGATTTTATTTTGTATTTTCCCTCAAAGTGGATGTGTTTTACTTTGTAACCGCGTCTCTCTTCCTGTCAGACCCGTGAAATTGCTGCTGAATTGCTGCGTAGTCCGACTAAATTAGACCTGTGCTCTATCTCAGTCGGAGCAACGCTGCCCCCTACAGGAAATCATCCCCATTGACTTTTAATGAGCGCTAAACGCCACCGCCTCTATCACACGACTTTCTGTTGGATCGGATGAAAAATCGGATTCGGTGTGTTCTGGCCTTGACAGTTTTGATCCGTTCACATCTTGGAGCACGACCCTGTCTGCTGCCTTTAGGTTTTGTTGGACCTTCTACCGCGGGTCCTTGACCCGTTCCAGAATGGCATAATCTGGTCATTAGCAGAACCTGACTGCATGCTGAGTGGGTGATTCAGGTTTGTCTCTCTGGGTTTTAGTTTGGGTTCCAGTTCGGCAGGCCTTGAATCTCTGGTTCCCTTCTGATTTGCTTTTGGTCCATTTCCACGTCCTCTAAGACCTGAGCAAGCCTAGATCAGGAGCTAATCTGGGGTCTGATCCTGGGCCTCCTGGAAGGAGGATGAGGGAAGATTCGGTCAGGGAACTGGTCCCAGGAGATTAATGGACCAACTCAAATACCAGAACATTTTTTAAAATCCCAGTATTCCGATGTCAGAAACTACGATATTATATCGAATATCGGTCCCATATTAGCCAAAAGAATCAGATTTTATCGGCCGGTCTCTAAAATCTCTGATATCTGTCAGATGTTTGTTGTTGCTGACCTTTGTTACCTGTTGCAGAGAAAGTAGGTAAAAACATCGGGTTTGATTCTTGCCAGTATTTAATAAGAAGCAGGTGGTGTGTATGGATGATCCAGTGTTCTGTCAGATGCGCAAACCCAGTCAGACCAGCAAACCCAGAGTCAATACCCATTTATACCTTTAGTTTTGTACTAAAAGGTATACACGCCCATCAAGGTAGTTCAAAGTATATTTTTCATGCTAAACTAAAGGGATAATAAATCTGACGTCTTTCACATGTGTATTGACTGGAGGTATGCTGGTCTGTGGAGGTATGCTGGTCTGTGGATGTATGCTGGTCTCTGGAGTTATGCTGGTCTCTGGAGTTATGCTGGTCTGTGGAGGTAAACTGGTCTGTGGAGGTATGCTGGTCTGTGGATGTATGCTGGTCTCTGGAGTTATGCNTATGCTGGTCTCTGGAGTTATGCTGGTCTGTGGAGGTAAACTGGTCTGTGGAGGTATGCTGGTCTGTGGATGTATGCTGGTCTCTGGAGTTATGCTGGTCTGTGGAGGTAAACTGGTCTGTGGAGGTATGCTGGTCTGACAGAACACCGGCTTCAGCTCAGGGAGAAGCCAGAGGGTTTAGGGATAGACCTTCTTCTCATTTCCTGGTTAGTCTGACAGTGGCTGAATCATTAGATATCAGATGAGGTTCCGGGTGATGCCATGTTGCAGCATCTGGAAATGATTCCCGGTGATCTCTGGGAAAGCATGATGCTGTCAGTCATCCTGAACCACTGATAGATCAGGAAGCCTTGCTGAAGCAGTGACAGGTCACCAGGTCTTCCAGAAAAAGTATCTTAACTTTCTTTCTGACAGACAGTTTTTTCTCTCTTCAGGTCATGACTGTAGAGGACGGCGTGTGAAACATCATTTGGTGCGAAGAGTCCTCAGCATCAGGACCAGCAGCAGATTGAGGACGGGCCGAGCTAAAGTTCCAGCCAGGTAAGAACCCACAGAGCAGCGCTCTGGGAACTGCATGTCCTCAGGTCTCCTGCTTCTCTCTGGCTTTAATCACCTCACCTGTAGTCTCATCATCGTCTGCACAGTTCTCGTTTCGCTGTTGGCCATCAGTCAGTTTATGGAAAAGATTATAAAATGGGTTTTGTCATGTTTTTCAGATGGAGGCTAATGTGGTTGAGAAACGCCATCGTACTCGGTCCAAAGGAATCAGAGGTACGGGAATCAGTCTGATGACCCCCCTCCCAGCTGAATCCAAACATTTGCTCATAAAGATGTGCTGCCCGTATAGCCAGTCTATACCTGTAGTTGGTTTATTTAATAACTGGTTTGGCTTCTCACCACAGATATTATTTTTTCACTGTTAAACATCAAGAACCTCTGCTGACAGTAAGAATTTCTTCATAAGATTTTAGTTCCTGTTATTGAGCTGCTAGTTTCTGTAACTTAGCTGTTACATCCTGTTACTGAGCTGTTACTGAGTTGTAAGTTCCTGTCACTCAGCTGTTAGTTCCTGTTACTCAGCTGTTAGTTCCTGTTACTGAGCTGTTAGTTCCTGTAACTTAGCTGTTAGTTCCTGTTACTGAGCTGTTAGTTCCTGTAACTGAGCTGTTAGTTCCTGTAACTTAGCTGTTAGTTCCTGTTACTGAGCTGTTAGTTCCTGTTACTGAGCTGTTAGTTATTGTAA